AGAAATCTTTTTTTAAACCCCCCCCCCCCCCCTCATTTAAATGTTTTAGTAAAACCCTTTGGTTTTCAATACATACCTTACTTCAAAAACTGTGATTTCATGTCTGAGGCTCTGTGCTTTTCTATTTTTCTATTCAATGCAGGAACATCATGGCTGGTGGAAGCGATCCTCAGGGGGCTGCACATAGCTTCCTGAAAACACTATAGCATTCTGCCTCAGTAATCCTTTTTTTAAGAACCCTCAGCCCTGATACCGACAGTCAACTGGTCCTTGGGAGGAGTTTTACAAATATCAATATGTCCTTATGGATGGATGTCAGTTTGCATACAGACTGCCCTAGGTAATGTCTATATAAGATGCTGACATAATTAAAAGAACTGCAATCCAATGAATAGAAGGAGCAGGCCAGGGCCAGTAAGGCTGGGGAGGAAAGCGCTAGATCATGCTCCAAAATGAAGTGGGCTCTCTCTGACTTGCTGCAGCTTCTAATTCACATTATGCAGTGAAATCAGAGAAAGCTATTTCAGTGCAGGAGAGGAGCCGGTACAAATGATTGAAGGTACTGTAAAGCTAAAGTTGAGCTGTAATAATATATCAACCATATCAATAGTAAATTTAATAAGTAGAAAATTATTTTCCTGCTTCTAAAGACCTGAACTTTTGATGTGTAGACTACACATAAAAACTAACGAGGAATTTTGTATTTTCTGTGGTTCTTTAGAGTTATGTAATGGCATAAGAATACATATACTAACCCACATGAGGTAGGGACAGATTGTAAATGTGGCCGTGCAAGAGAATGGTCTCTAATATGATAACTCAAATGCCTTGCCATATACTGTGAAGTGTACCATTCACTCTGGAGATATCTGCATAACAACAGTCAGTTTTGATCAACTTAAAACATTTTGAACAAAAACCATGCTGGATTGTTCAGGGCTATCACCGAGTCAGCAATGGGGAGACACACCAAAATCACCTAACCAGGGGAGATGTGTATCTGTAAAAAATATATCAAAGCAACTAGACTTGCTGTATTTTTCTTTAAGACATTTACATGGTCATCTGACTAGCTGGTCAATTCAGAATTGAAAAAAGCTAGTCAGATGACAAGCGAAATATCTTCAAGAAAAATACAGCATATCCAGTTGCCTAGATTTATTTGTTACACATATACCATGACCTGGATGAATAAGAACCTCCACAGGCAGGGGGAATGTGGGTCAGGTAAACAGAGCATTGTTTGGGGGACCGATCATTTTGTTCTGAACATTTATTAGTATACCCACTTGTAAGGTCGTAGATTAATATTATCGTAAAAGAAAGAGAGAAAATTTCAGTAGTATGTAGAAATCATAATATACAAAGATAAATGCAATCAAATCCAGAGGCTTTTGGGATTTTATTTAGAGAAAATATATTCTTATTGCCCACAGCAACCAGAGTGCGTGTTACTGTTTCAACACTGCAGAAAAGACAGTTGGTAGCTGACTGTTTTTTTTATTGGTAAGAAGGATTTTTTCTCATTAGCACACATTTTATACACAAATCATTATTTGTATTCATTAGGTGATAATCATTACAAATTGTCCTTTGACAATTCTTACCTTTTGACACATGACTCAATCATGTCGCTTGCCATCAATTTAAGGCGCTGCTCCAAGTGCTTCCCGAACTCTTCTTCAGGCCAGTGAAGGTCGCGAATAAAAGTTTGTAGGGCATCAAGTTTCCAAAACAGGTCTTCTGATGTGGCTGATCCATTACTGGCAGGATAACAAGAGAAAACATTTTTAGGTGGATGATTAACACACAGCCTGATGTGGAGAGAACATTTTCTGTGCAGTTTGGCCCATTATCTTTCGCTACAGAACTTAGATTAGCTGTCATCTCCAACATCAAGGCTGCAATTTTTCTTTTTCTTCCTATTCCTATTCTAATTTTTTAGCTAGAGCAAAACACAACAAACTTAGACAAAACTGGATAGTTTGTAAGCAGATCTCGTCCTTAATTAATAATCACATCATTGTATGTAGTTATTGAAATTAAGGATACAAACTGGGGAAGACAATCCTTGATTGTTAACCACCACATTAAAGCAAGCAGAAGTTAACAATCAGAGTTCCATGCACGTCTGTAAGAATACTGTTAAAAGGATTCAAACTAGGTAAAAGGTTGTGCTAACTAGTGGTGAGCGAGGTCATTATTTTAATTGCAAAAAACACCTAAACTTCTAACAATAAAAAAAGAAATAAAATAAAACACGTAAAAAGACACTTTGATGGTGATTTGGAATTGCATTACACCAATTCTTATTTTTTTTAAAGGTTATGGTGTTTTGTAGCTACCTCCTTAACTTACTATTGATAAATACACTGATTTTATTAAAATGTTTTTAGAATATGCGCTTATTAGCCTATTTCCAACATTTTCTTTCTCTGCAATTACATTTTCAAAGAGAATTCTCTCCTCGCATACCACTAATGCTAACACAGCAATTTATCAGATCTTATACACATGCAGTACCACTTGTACTGACATCCTCTATAGAAACAGATTAAAGTAGGCGTTTCTATTATGACAGATGCCAGATGCATTGAGTTAATGCTGCAGAGCAATACATAGCTAAATGCACACGTAGCTATTGCAGGGTGAAAAAAAACCAAAACCAAAACCATACTCCCAACATGCCAAATATCTTGAGTTCCTGCTTCAACAAAAGTTATGATTTAGGAATAGGTAATTTCTACTTAGAGAGGTATCTGATAAATGGAAAAGAATTGTGTCTTAATAGTGAAGATAATTCAGGAAAACAGGTGTGTCAAAAGATATTCAACCAGGTACTTTGATGGTAAATATTTTGCTCTGTAGGTGTCTTGATGCTACGAGCGCATCTTGCAAACAGTTATCTTCCAAATGGAGGCTTGGAAAAATTTATATTTTTGAAATCTAAATTGAGTTTTGGAACGATAAAGGTTTATGTTTTAAATCAGAGAATACACACAAATGCAATAATTGGTGTCTATTGCTACAACATTTTGACACCCATCTGCCTTCAGAATTATTTCAAATGTCTTGTCGTTTTTTTTCACTTCTTTATGTTTTTGTAATGTCACAATTGAAATGATTCCCGTGCCTAATTTGGATTTCATTGATTTATTAAAGCCATCATATGCTCAGTTTACTGGTTGATATCTTTTCCAAGAAACAGTGTCACACATCATGCACAGAGGGGGGATAAAAAGCCTCAGTTACCGATGCCTAATCTACCTATCTCCAATATAGTAATCATAGCATGAACATGACGTTTATTTCTTGTACTGGTTATAAATCACAATAGAATATATTAAATATATGAAGATTTTGTCGCAAGATAAGATGTTTAGTTCATGCCAATCTGTTTAATGAGTGTTTAACTGTTGCTAGTAATTTTACAGTTATTAAAATAATATTTATTTTTATCATCATCATGAATTGTTTATTGTAGTTTAAAATGTAATTATATCGTTTTAGCATTAACATAATGGGTTAGTTTAAAACATGGCAATTATGAAAATGAATGCACCAATGCTAAAGTTTATAACTTTTGTTTTTACTTCCTTTTTTTTATTGGGGAGGGGGGCAGTTTATGCTCTATACATTATTACAGGGATTTTTTTAACAGTTAGCATTAGCCCAGTAAATGTAAATTATTTTGAAACAGCCAATCAGATTAGGGTAGGTCATTTATAAAGGAATCAGTTTTATGCTGGCCCAGGGAAAAAGGTATTTGCGTCAAACGCCCAAGTGTATGCAAAGATTTGGCCACTCGGCTGCTGCCATGCTGCATAGCCAGGTACGTGATCGTGCCTTTTTTATAGTATGGATTTAAAAAAAATATGGTCACCTACCTGCCTCAATTCTGATGACTGAAGAATGAAGACTGACAGCACTCTGCAATACAACAGAGCCCTAACCCTAAGCCCTGTACAAAGGTCTGTCCATCCCAGAGTACCCTAAAAGAGGCAAATCCCATTTTCTCTGTTTTTTCTTTTGCAATGGTTAGTAATTAGGACTTTGGTAATCCTGATGCTTAAATACTCTGTGCGTACAGTGCGTTGAAAAAAAAAAGCTCAATTTTTGTGTGCATTGTGCATTGTCAGCCCATTCAAAATACATAGGATGCCTTTATGCAACAAACATTAACATGCAAAATACCACATGTTAACATGGTTGTGGTAATGCACCAGAGCAGTGCGAAGGGGGCCTCATTCTTAAATTATTTTGCGCTTAAGCTGCTCAAAGTAGGTACATGATAGGCAGGCATGATATGACCATACACAAGGCATTCTTTCATCAGAGCTCTATATGGGGCTCTAATAACTTAAGGCTAGTTTTAAAAACTCTAAGAGGTAGTTCCAGAAGAAGGGGTATAGGCAGAGTAGGAAGAAGAAACTATGTACCAGATTATCAGAGGGGAATAACAGTGATTGGACAATTGTTCTGTATAGAGGCCAGCAGACATTCTCGGAGCCTATCAACTGACATTATCACACATGAAATGTTATCAACTCTTGTCTTTGGGTGCCTAAAGATGACATTGACTTTACTGGCTCATCCTGAAGCTTTTGTGAATGTGTATTGTTTTTTACATGTATCCCAATCAGATTAATATTTGCTGATGTTGCCATTACACAGTTATTTAAATAAGAGAAACACAAGTGCTGATATTCCTTCTAAAAAATTCCAGGTGCTTGGCTGTTGTGAGAACCATCTTCCTTTATTATCTTCACTTAGTCACTGACCCAGAACAAGCATGAAGATCTTGAAAATATATTTTATTTTCTATATAAAGAGTATAGTCAGAAGTACTTATCTGCATGCTTGTTCTGGGTCAATGACTTAAAATAATAAAGTCAGAGGATCACCATGAAAGCCAAGAAATTAGCTCTTCACAAGAAAGGTTCAGTAGTAGTAGCCTCAACATATCTCTCAGGTTCTTTGTTAAAGTGCCTCTGTTATGAGAAAAGTATGGGGCTGCCACTGTTGGCTCTCGTTTGAAAATACCAGTTGCCTGGCTGTATTTGGCTTCAATACTTCTGAGTCACATACCTGGCACAAGAATCCAGTAAGAGTGTCAAAATTCCTTACATCTTTACTTGTTCCTGATCAGAGATTTAGAAAGCACTGAAGCCAAAAGATGACGACATGACAACCTAAGAACTGGCATTCTTAAAGGAGTGGTCAACAATGGCAGCCCCTATACTTTTTTCCATAACAAACTCACTTTGAGGCTGAATATTTTACAAAAGTCTGCAAATGTACAAATGAACATACTTAATTTTTTGATTATGATAATTACTTAACAGATGGTGAAAGTTTACATTAAAATCTTATAAAGCTTTTACATCTACATATATAGACATATGTTAAGGTTTTGATGGATAATTTAGCACCTTTAGATATATACAGCCTTAAACAATATTATTTTTTTTTTTAAATACTAATGTCACTTTGTGTCAGGACATGAATGGGTGAATCCATCAATATGTTACATATCTATAATTTTAAATAATGAAAAATAACTTTTAAAAATATTATTTTTGGAAATTATCCTTCTCACTTTAATTTTTTTATGTTGTTAAACTGTATTTTCAAATAAGGATGTCATGTGCTAAATTTTATTAACTGTATAATTTTAGGTTGTTTAAATGCTGTTATTTTAATTTGTTGTTACTATTATTTTGTATTGATTTTTTTATAAATTAAAATGTGTGATTTTTTATAAATTAAAATCTGTGATTTTTTTATAAATTAAAATCTGTGATTTTTTTTATAAATTAAAGTCTGTGTTAAAGATGAGAAGAGTAAAAAAAATTTGCTAAGTTTGAAGGCTTGCTAGAAATAATTAATACACATTCATGCTAAGACTGCTGCACATATAAATGAGGTCTAATGTGAACTGAATACACACTCAGAATCATAAATTGCAGCCATCCATGACGGTGCAGAAAAGCTAGGCATTTGTGGGAGGTTAACTGGTAGGGCTACAGGTACTTTAGGGAGATTCACATTTGGAAGATTCACATTGGGCAGATTACTTGTTAAACTCCTGTGGAAGAAACAGACAGAAAGAAAAAGATACCATAACATGACAATGCGGATGTAGCAAAAGCACAAAGACACTCAGAAGAAACACAAAAGAAAGATCAAGTGTGTGAAAAGATAAACATAAGAAAAAAAGGAAAATTAAAAAAGCATCAGTTTAAAAAGAAGCATGAAGAATGGAATATTATCTGCTTTCTAGTATCAAAATAGGAAGTTACTAAACAAACACATACAATGCACAATTCACGAAATAAAAGCCACAAAATGCCACAATATCAAAGTTTCATATGCATAGCAAAAACAAGCTGCAAACCTCTACCATAACTAATGAAATAAAATGATCTCAGCGTGACTATACAGGTGATTTTAACAACCATCAATTGCAAAAAGTGTTGTGGAAAACTATAAATAAGACATTCTGAATATTTTTTGTATGTATAGCAAAGATCCATAGAAGTTTGTATAGCTGAATTTACTACTACTGTTTACCATTATCTGGGCTGGAAAAAAAATCATTTTCATAAGGTTTTCATAATTTATAAATAGTGAAGGCAGCCATTTTGTGGGCTGAACCATTAACTTGTCATTTCAGGTGGCTGCCTGATAATTTATTAAAGCAGACCTTCCATAAAAATGTGAGATTAGTTAATACGGGAGCCTCTGCCACCCAAATAAAAAGCACTAATTAAAGACTAAAACATCAATAGAAGAAGCTAAAAAAATACTTGGCTTGGACCTTGAATTTTTTGGGGCTTTCTGAAGGTGCCAGGACAACACTGCACCTCATCCACGCCACTCAGGAAAGCTGAGTATAACCTTGCAATGATGTAAGACTCAGCTCTCCCATGAGGCAGTGGTGAGGCACAGTGACAGTGTTATCAGTGCTTTCAGGAAGTGGTCAGTAGCCAGGGGCTAAGGTATTTTTTTAACTTATTTATTTTTATACAGGGCAGCCACAAGGTGATTTTAATCCAGTAGGTCACCTGCAAAATAAGTATGGCTATACTTACCTTTCTGGCAACCATGTTATAAAAAGCCACCTCTATGTTTCCCATCCACTGCAACTACTCTACACTTGTGTGTAAAGTGCTCCCCTGCCAGCTGCTGTGGTTCCTCCTGTCAGCTCATAAGTCACCAGCCAGTGGCAAGAACATGGCAGCTGGTGGGTTGAGCAAGTATTCAACTTATCCAATGGTCGAATACTTGCAGTATATTGATGCTTCTTTAATGGTTAGTTATTAGGTATAACGGACTCTGTGGTGACAGGATCACTTGAAGCACAATAGTGACACTGTTGAAACATGTGACATGATGATTGGTAACACCCACAAAATGGCTCTCTCCATTATGCATAGACTAAAATCCATGTTAACAAAGATGTTCAAACCGGCATTATAATATCACAGTTTAAAATCCTTCCTTCCCCCTTCCACAAAAGACACATTACTAAATTATATGATTAAACTACTAAAAACATCCACAACTACGAGTGTTAAAGTTTCTATACCTGGGGAATGTGTATTTTGATTTGGCAATTTAGAAGACCTATTGACCTGGCAGTGAATGATTTTGTGCACGCATTAGTGTATTGCATCCAGAGGGTGACTTACTAAAGGAGTCATTTTGAGTCATTGGGAAGTATGCCTTTGATTTAATTCAATTGCTCAAGACTGATTGTTTGAAAATAAAACACTGAAAATAGTACTTTTAAGTGAATGACACCCTGGTGTCAAAAGGGCTCACATATTAATATGTGTTTAGATGGGGCTGAGTTTTATATCCTGTCAGACCTTTACTGCTGTTACGAGGATAAGCTCTATGCAAGTTTTGGGAAAACTCTCTTTTTCAAAGAAAAATTAAATTTGATGCACAAGTATTACTATACATTTTTTTGCTCTTGTTTATTTAGACACACACAGTGGGGAAATTTAAAGCTGAACTTATCTTCCAAAAGATTTGTAATTCCTTTACCCTTTAACAAAGAAACTCATCTCTGCTTACTCCTGTCTGCAGGTTTCCTGCCAACATATGCATTCAGCAAAGCCTAATCGGTTCCGAGTGCTGCCTGCCATCTTCCAATTCGAGTGCTGCTGAGCAATGGATGACAGAGGCTGATATCAACCACACTTAGTTACTTATGCTAGTTGTATATCAAACATAATTCATTATTTTTAAAGGAATAAACAAACTAAACTTGTTTTTATATGTAAATTAGTATAAAACAATATAAATGGATAAAAAAATAATCTTAAAATGAATTATTCTAAAACTATATCTGAACTTCAGACTTAAGAATTGATCAGAGCAGAGGAAGGAATTTAGGAAACACACTGCCATCACCTAGAAAATATGACTCACTGTTCTGTTTTGCACTGCCTTGCTATGCAGCATCAAATGTAAAAAAGTCCAATTCTAGCTTGGGTAAAAAAGCAGCCCCCAGCAGCAGAAAAAAAAGGAGAAAGGAGTTCTGGTTGCTTTACTAACCCAATCTCTGCCCCCGTAAACTCACCAACTCTTTACCTTTCCTGAGTTAAGTGATGCCGAGTGTAATTCAACCAACTTCCTGTGAGCCAAGGGACTGCCCGCTGCCCTCGGCTTAGAGTAAAATGCTGAATGGAGCAGTGGCATGTAACGACATTGTACCAGTCAGTACAGTATTTAGGATCTCAACTGGTATGTATACAGATTTTTTAAGGGTTAGAGGTGTTTCAATGGGGAGGAGGTGGCAAAGGGGAAGGGGGCTATCAAGCCGGGGGTTAAAAGGATAAACGGTCAAGCTGAAAAGACTATGACGAATCTTAGTGGTTCTGAGGATCATTTGACATATTTCTGATCACATATTTTATTGTTCAAATGATTAGTCAAAATGTGATGAGAAAGACTGTGTGTGGCTAGCTTTGCAAGCCTCCTGGTAACAACTTTTAAAACACACAAATAGTTGCTTTGATGTCGACAATCATGCCTTTCTCTTCTTTTTAAATTTTGGAGGGGACACATACGAGAGTGGTTCAAAACAAATAAGCGAACTTGTCATTAAGAGACGCATAAGCTCATGAATACATCCCATATGTCCCTTCCTTGTTTGGTGGCTCAAGACATGCTGTAATAAATATGCTTTATAGTCTCCAGAATTTCAAAAACACAACACAGAAACAGTTGGATTTGACTTCTATTTTCTAATTTAGTGCTTGCTAAATAAATAATAATAAAAACAAAAATCTTTAATCACAATTTTGACATCCATCTGAATCATTTCAGAAAGAATAAAAATAGAAAATAATAAGGAATTATCTAAATCTATTAATATCTATCTATCTATCTATCTATCTATCTATCTATCTATCTATCTATCTATCTATCTATCTATCAAGCCTAAAATCGTGTATTATTATATATTATATTGTATTATTATAATTAAAAGCCCATTCTATTGAGAAATATTTTTTTAATTGTATTTTTTTTTTTAGGTTTATGTTCTCATTAGAGGAACATATCACTCCTCACCATCTTGTACAGCTTAGAGCCTCAGGCACTTTGGTAGATATTTGAATCCAGGTGTCGCTATGGCCATTTTAAGAGGGTCTAAATCTACCTACACACATAAGATCATTGCTAAATTATTTTTGTGACAAATGAGCCTGGATAGATATTCCCAGCGAACTGCTACTGTCCCTTTTGTATTTAACAAACGATCATTTGGTGGTCTGATCTCCTGATCACCATCTTATAAATGTGGGTACATTCATTGACCCTGAATGATTGTTATTTAATTTGCCAATAATGATGAAGTGGGGATGAAGGGGTACAGCTAGGAACTGGCTACTGGAGATAGGAGGAAAATACGTGTTTATTGCACTACCTTCTTATCGATGTTTGTGGAGGAATGAAGACCATAAGAGAAAATCTGGATAAAAAGGTCCAAATTTCCTTTGCAAAAATCCTAATTTTCACAGCGATGTGTGTCTGAATAAAACAAAGCATTTTTCCCAATGTCATCTTTTTGTTTTGTAAGCCAATATAAAATGTCCTAGTCACCTATAGTTAGTAACAAACTGTATATTTTGTTATGTTTGTAACTGTTTAAATGTTGTAATTTTTACTTATAATTAAGGCCAAAGGTGTAACAGATAAACACCATGATGTACCAGTCACAATAAAAATATTGGTAATATCAAAAGGACCTCTAATCACATACATCACCTTTCTGGTTTAATTTCTAGGTACTAGACCTGAACTTTACTTTAACTGCATCTTTAGGTCAAACTACTTTTTAATTGTTAGAGAGAATAAGGAATGGTCAGAGCCCCTGTAAGCTTTCAAACTTCCTTCTATTATAAAATGTTTTTATTGTGTTCCTGTTAGATTTCCCCAAACTTTCCGTCCTGGTGATAAGAAGTAAAGTAAAATGGGAAAAAAAGGTTATGGTTAAACATTAAATTTGGGTGCATTTGAATGCCTTTGAATAAATTATTTTGGACAATATTTGCCATATTTTTTTACATCTTCAATAATGTTATGTCATTTCTGTATGCATACAGAAAGTTTTTACATTTTAAAAATAACATGTAAAATGATTCCATTTCATTAGGGAAATTTCCAGTCACTTTCTCTGCCAGTGACAGGGAGCCAGAGGGAAATTATGGTAAATTTATACAGTGGGGACAGTGCAGGAAAATCTCCCCCTACTCGGAGTCACAGACAGCAATAAACATCTGACAGTCTCTTTATTCTGTTATGTAATAATAGGTGCTTGAAAGATCCAGCACCAAATGGCTTAATCACTAACTAAAACTACCCGTACGCATTAAGATTTTTGTTGTCGAGCTGGCAGGGCCAATCACTGATCGAATTTTAGCGGATTTAGCAGAAAACAGCAAAAAATTTGATACATGTAGGGCCAAATGAAGCATTTTATGACTGTTGGTTTAAAATGACCCTGACATGGCTTAATTTCCCAGGAGCTTATTCCCTGGACTAATGTGTGACTTTGGGAGTAAAGGAAGTCCACTTCTATTAGAGGACAACAGTAGAAACCCTTTAAACCTAACTAGATAAATGTAATTACTTGTAGGCTAACTGGCTAACTGGCTTCTTCCCAAATTTGGCCATATTGAACACATGAATGTGGTATTCATTACACTGTGAGTTCATTCATTCAAAATAGAACATGTGTGTATGATGTTTGTATGATGCCAAGTAGTGTGTGGTACTTTGTCCATGCTATCTTCATATACAGTATATATATATAT